ATATAACATCGCGAGAACGATAATGTGCAACATAACACGATCGGCTTGCGTAAAAACAGACCGACTCGTCGATTAGTCTTCGGCGAGTTACCTTATCCCCCGCCTGGTGGCATAGAAAATTACTCGCCGGCTGCGCTGATATTTAGCAATGCATCGATAACGAGCGCGCTCACAGAGGCTTTACGTTAATTAGAGCGCCGAAGCGCGCGAATGAATTTTAAGGCGAAAGCGCTCGCTCACATTCGGTCGTCGAACAAGAAGCGCGCTTGTGTCGCAACGGTCGGTTCGTGCCATCTGTATCGCGATACAATCTGCACCTGTTGTGGTAAAAGGACCTACCCTCCTTTCCTCCGGACGCCGTTGCATTTATTAGATCGTCGATTACGTTCATTATGCCGCGCGAGCGAAATCGTTACGTACCGTTTCGCGGAAGCCACGCGCCTGATTTTCATCATTCACGAAATGCCTCTCGCGTTTCACTCGTGGAGAAAGAATAACGCATCGCTGGCTATACAGCGAATGAACATTTTTATCAGATTACGGAATGCCATAACGTCTTCTTCGAAGAAATATACATTTTTCTCATAAATATACTTTTTTTAAATTCCTATATCTTGTTTATACAATAATTCCGGGAGAGAAGAGATATAAAGCAGATTTTATTTTAAATCAAAGATAGAAAAATATACATGTTTTAAAGTGTAAACCATTTCAATATTTATCTAAAACATATTCTCTATTTACATTATTTTTATTTCCATACAAAAATTCCCTTGAAATATTTATTAATAGAATAAAATTAATTTATCAATTTAAACAACTAAGTTATTATAAAAGATTTATTTGTTTTAAGACTGATTTTCATCTATCCCTATTAAAATTGGCTTAACCCTCTCTCTCTCTCTCTCAAAAAAAAAAAAAATAAATGGAAACTCTGCTAAATATAGCTAATTGAATCAGTTGAAGTTAAAAGTATAAAAGTATTCAACAGTTTCAATTTAGCAGTACTACATCAAGAAATGTAATATTTCCGCGATAAATCTTTTAGCTTCGTTCACAAATCACAAAAAATTTTAACATTTTGTCTAAATTTAAACCACGTATTACATACGAGCTTAGAAATATTAAGAATTATAAAAATTAGATAATATCTAACTAAACACAATCAAAACATTAAACATACAGGCGATGTTTCATATTTTAAAAATTCGAATATACACATACTATATTTGCATATCATTTCTATTGAAATTTTAATAGCCATTCTGCGAACATATTAATTAGTCAATGATTAATACATGTAAAGCGACGACGAAAATAATCGCCAGTTAATTGCGTTATCGAAAAACGCGACAGGACGATTAATTATTACAGGTGTGGAACTTCCACATGTGGGGTGCGACGCGCGATAACTCGTCAGTTTAGGATCGTTGGTATCCCGGCCACCCTAGAGTCTAACCTTGATAAGGATCGCTGCTAATTGTTGCGAATTGGCGAAGGTGGCGAACGAACGAACGAGGGAGGTTGGGCAACAGGTGTCATCTGATTGATCGCCGTTGCTCGCACCCCCACGATTACCTAGCCCACAAACACATCCACGGCAGAAACGAAGGACTTAATGTCGATCCATTACGTACTGGCCCATCCCAACGAGGAATCGTTGACCTGACGCGCTCCAAAGTGCATTACAAAGTGAAAAAGGACGAGACCGTCGAAAAAGAACGAGACTCTGCGACCACGTGTATATCGCGTGGTATAGACATTGCATGTGTCATTCCTACGAATTGTTTCGCCCAAAGATGTACATTTTTAGAGAGAAACATAATAGACTTTTATAGTTTTTTTAAATAGAAAGAAAAACGAGAGTTTAATCAACTATTTCCGCAGTCGGAAAAATCCGATAAGCCCGCGAAAAATTGAAAAGTTAGTATATATCATATAATTTCTCTCAGCATTATTGTAATTTTTTTTTTTCAAATCCATATTACAGTTGCCACGTGAAAAATGCCGCTTCTACTTACGAGCCTCTTAGAAAATGGACTCGGTCGATTCGTCACCAGACCGCGCGCGTTACGACGAGGCGCCCTGCAAGAGCAAAAAGTCAGCCGTAACTCGCGGCGAAAGCGTTAAATCATCCAAGGCCGAAAGGACGTACCGGGCGACGTACTCGATTCGCGCAAGACGCTTCGCGGCGAGACGAGCGCGCGCGCGGAATTAATAGCGCGCCGCCGTGAATATTCGACGCGGTAATTGATACCGACGTCGAGAGAGCGGCTGACCATTGAAACCGCACGCGCAATATATCACGGATAATAAGCGGCCGGTGCACACACGCCCCCGTGCACGACCGGGGTGGAAAGAAGGGGAAGAGTGCCTCGAGTCGAGATGGCCGCGGCGCGCTTCGTTATAGCATCGACTCGGTGAGTCCTCTTCGAGGACTTACGACGGCGAATTACGACGCGACTCGGCAAGATTTCGCAAAGTCATTCGGTCGCTATCCGATGGCGAACAATGGCCTCGCGTCTCTTGGCGCGCGTGTGTGCGCACACTCGCGGTAGGTAGATAGGTAGGTAGGTCTAGCTAGACGTCAGAGGAGAATGATCGTGCGCGAAGTGACCCGCGTAATCGTAATTAATCATCGTGTAATCCGTGACTCGCGGATCGGTATCGCGCGGGGCGGCTACGCACCGGGTTATCGCTGGTGGAGTCGAACGGACGTTGGGCTCGCGCTCTAAGCGGCAATGTCAGGATTTATGATCGGCTCTGATGGAACTGGAATGAACAGTCGTTACTTTTGTCGGGACAGCTCGTTCATTGAACGCTTTAACAGACGCTCTCGAGGAGGAAGCGAAGAGATCATTTTTAGCAGGAATAATCTCCGCGAGATAAAATGTCTTGAAAAATAAGATGCAACAAACATCGATATCCGTTCGAAACTTTTACGCGTTAAACAACTCGAGCGATATTCGAATTAACAATCCGAACGGCTGATTGTTCAATATCTCGATCATCGCTTTATCATCGCGTAAAGAATCGTGCATGCTCGACGGGAAGATCTTGTCTCGTAACAATGACCTCATCGTCGATCTCGAAAGGCGAATCGCTCCGCGTCTAAGGGATTCGGAATTAACAATCGGTACTTTGTGTTACTTCATTGTTGCGCTATGAAGTCACCATGTATTAATAGATATAGCAGCGCGCGCGCGGCAGAAGATGCATCTTCTACGCCGAAAGCATTCTAAATGAGATCCAAATCGGCGAACGCCGTCGCGCGATTTATTACCAGCCGGCGTGATCTATTCGGATATTTAACCGAGAAAGAAGGAGAGAGAGAAAGACGCGTCTCTCAGTGACATGGCGATTTTGCTACACGATGTGCCTGACCTATTGTTCGCAGGATCGTGAGGAATAAGGCGGCGGAGAAGGCCAAGCACGCGCATCAGCAACAGCAGGCGCAGCAGCAGCAAGGTCAGCAGCAAGGTCAGCCAGGCTCGGGCGGTTCCGTGTCGGTGATAGCACACGCACCTGCGACAGCGGCAGGTCATCCCGCTGCCACCGCACCCAACGCCTACAGCATCAGTGGCATCCTGGGCATCCCGGCGCATCATCAGGATCCCAATGGCAACAGCATCAAGAGGAAACGCAGTGTTGACGGTGAGTCACTGCGAGTCTTCTCGCTCGTGTCGCTGACCCGGGCTTCCTCTACGTTCGTATCCTCTTCTCCGTCGATGCTCCGTCATCGTGCAATATTATTTAATACGTTTATTATCGGCAACGAGATCGCTTTAGATGGCGAATTGCAACTGAACTTGCAGAAATCTCAGACAGCACGGTATGAAAGTATTGCGTGAAGGAATGAAATGTTATTAATATCGCGAGTATATAAATCGAATAGCGACGAGCTCATCTCGTAACACGTTTCAATAGTTAAGATGGTACAGTTGTATGTAAAAAGAAAATAAAAATCGATATACATATATTTTTCAGCATAATTAAATATTGCATTTTATTAAAATCGATATAGAATTCGATTGCTTAATCAATTTGCGGATTAGAAATCTGTAAAGTAATATTTTGCGCGCAGTTTTGTAAATCAGTCGCACGTTGCTAAACCAGCTTGTACCGTGATTTCTAAAAATTCGAATGTTTCCCCTCCCCTGGCGACTTTCTTTGATGAATAACATAATTATTTTAAATATTGGTAATTAACAGAGTATTTTTTGATGATCTTATTAAACTACAATACTAAATCTAAAGCAGCAGTCTCTAGTACAAATATATATATATACATATTGTACATTTTCATTTTAAACTTTTAGAAAGAGATTAGAATCCAAAAACAGAATAATACAACAGTATATTTCAGACTGGTTCGGTGAGACGTCGCAATAACTTGTCGTATGAAAATTAGCGATAATTGCGCGACACGTAAGTTTTAAGTAAGAAATACGATAGCATTTATATCGTCGTCACGGTCCAGTAAATCGATGGGAGTTAAGTAAATTTACACGTCAGGGGCGAAGACAATGGAGAAGTTGAACAATTTCGGGAAGACTCGGATGTTAATATTACGGTGATGTCGCGAGAACCTCCAGCATCAATTTGTGCGCGTTTATTGTCTTGTTTTCGAGCATTCCAAATTTTCGCTGCCTTATTTAGTCGCGGAACAAAGGTTTGCGAATAATATTCCACTCAATTGTAATGTCTACTAAAATCAGAGGCACGCAAAGGCAGAACTCCAAAGGAGGGACTCGTTGACGGCTTAATGACAAACTCGGATCCCGTTACAAGTGACTCATTGTGACTCGTTTATACCAAGTACAACTTCTTACAATAACGTTGAGCGATAATAATTCAAGTAACGATTGAAATGAACAATGCAAATAGAGCATGACGAGCATTATATGCCCGACGAACATTTGTCTATCGGGATAAGTGTTTCGAGCCGGGATATTTTCTAGTCGTACGCGTCTCATTTGCGGACGATCGAGCCACTTGGAACACTCGTTTCGCCCCAAGCGAGCGAACCAAGATTAGCCGCATAACGCAGCAAGGTTATCAGTCAAACGTCGCCGAGCACGTGTTGCGATTTATTCTGCTGTCATTGCGTGAATAACGCGGCCCGAAATATTCTTGACACGTGTCGCGTACACGTGACCGACTACGGCGTTTTAGCTTGGCGAGAGAGAGAAAAAGAGAGAATTTTCGACGTCGATCTCGCGTTTCGATCCTGAGGTTTACGAGGTGCGAAATAATGGAGAAAAAAAAAGAAAAAAAGAGGAAAATCATCCTCTGATATTCGGAAGCACTAGAATTCTCCATCCTCTCTACCTGTGTCACCAAAGACTATTAGGCTAATACGATTTGCTGTGATTCCGCGGAACAGACGTAATTCTATTCCGCAAAACGTACACGCCGACAAAAACCGCGCGTAAGCTCGATCAAAATTCCGCGAGCGCACGTTTCGCGGCGAGATTCCAGTATATCGATTCGAGCGACTAGTAGAATGTGTGTGCGTGTGTGTGTGTGTGTATGTATGCCGATGGGTACACGGGTAATTCAATATAATCGGATTATGAGAGCGGCGATATACGCGGCCGCAAAAGCGGTCGCGTCCGCGGCGAAAGCACTCAATGTTTTGCGAGCGCGCGCTCTCGCGTCGAGAGAGGGTAGAGCTGTACGTATTAGATTATAAACTTCACAGACCACAGGCGGCTTCTATCTCGGGCCCCGGCGACACATTAGCCTCCCTGTCCCCCGGGGAGACCATCGGCGTGCACGTAACGTGTTGTACGCGTGTACCGCCTAACTGTCTGGAATTTCAACGAGCGTTCCTCCGCTGCCTTCGCTGCGTCAGAACGTAAAAATCGACCGCAAGTGCTCAAATTTAATGAAACACTCTTCGGCCGGAGAGAGGCACTCGAGAAAAACTGTGTTACAGAGCGCGTTCGATCCTGTTTTGACTCTTCGGCAATTCAGACGCTATTTTGTAGCGGCTGAGTCCAACTAAAAGATTCCTTTAATAAGAGTTACGACATCGAGATGATGATTTCTGATTACTCAATTCGCCATACGTAACAGGCAAACTTTCGCGCGAATTTGATGTGTAATGTTTAAAGAGAAAACAAAAGTGCATATACGAATTAATTTTATGTTGACAGGAAGTATCGCATGTTTAGAATTTTGCAATTTTTTACGTAAACATTTATGTCTATAATACTTGAATCAATAAACAACTCGTGTTTCGTATCCCTACGAGAGCATCATACATTTATGCTAGTATTTTACTAGATTAATAATTTATTGATGAGTTTGAATGCACAATTTTAATAATATAAAATTATTTGAACAATATATATATATATATATATATATATATTGTAAATATTACATACTTATTTTTCATAAATAAATAATTAAAAATAAAATCATCATTATTAACTTTTTCCGTGCGCTTTTTTTAACCCTTATTAAAGGAACTCTAAATCGGACACGATTCGAGATTAACAATAAGTGTGTTTGTAGTATAATTGCTAGAATCGATTACTTTTAACCATACAAACGCTAAAGATATATACGTTGAAGAAATTTTGTGCGGATGTTTCCGCAATTTGAGACTCGTCGGTCGAGAAAAATCGGTCCCGGCGCGGCGGCCGATTATTTATGCCTTGGACGAACGAGCCAAGACATACCCGTGCCCAAAGTTCCCGGAGCTTATTACGAATTTACGAACGGCCTCTCGAGGGAAGCGTTGCAATCTATCGGGGCTGTTTGTTGTCGCGTTACATCTGCGCGCTTCTGGCCCCATGCAGAATCCCAGAGCCCGGCGTGTTCCACCCTATACATCCCCTGGACGTTAGGGGATACGCCGCGGGGCCAGATTCGCCCTAGAGTCCATTATTACCCGTGTATTGTATTGCTTAACATTGACTCAATTGCTTTCGAATAACGCGAATGAGAGAGAAAGAGAGAGAGAAAGCTTGCGCAAGCGCTCGTACTTTGCCCTTTCGAGCATCAATCGAATTATTCGATTTACTGCTCTTTTTAAGGGGGACGCGCTGACCTTCCTTCCGCATGACATAATTCATTCGCTGTCAAATCTGTCGAGGACCAACTATGATTTCGACTTTCCGAAGCTTGCAAATTTCGATTCGTATAAAAATACGCTTCCTTGAGCGATTCCGGTAATTTCGACATCGTGTACAAAACCGAGAAAAAAAGTAGAACACATACAATTTTCAAATATAAGATTTGTTTGTGATTTTCATTGTTCTTCGTTATTGATATTCTATATAAAATCTGAGCAAAAAAAAAATGATTTTTTAAAATAATTGTTTCACAATTTTGCGCGTGACAATGATAAAAGGAAAAACGATGAACCTTTGCGTGATAAAACTGATGGCCGATTAACAATTTTATCAACTCATCAACCGAAATGCTCGCGTATGAAACGGAATAGCGACGTTCCCAGGAAGCGCCCTAAACTTTAGTAAAATCGTGCCGCAACGCGGTACGCGTTTGTACGCCGCGGCGCGACGCGGCCGCGATTAACTCGGCCGATCGAATCGTAAAATTCGAGCAGAACTGGGAGGAGAGAGATTCAGGGAGACCGCCGCCGTGTTTGAAACGAGGGTTTTATAGCGGTCCAGGAACAAACCCTGCCGCTCGAATGGTCGTCGACCGTCGCTCTCTCGGCCGGCCGGACAATCACAACTTGACAGGGAGGTTTAACGAGCCCTATGCTAGGCGCCCCTTCCCCTTCCCTCCTTCCCACCCCCGTTCGTCCCACCCTCGGATGGTCATTTAATTATTCGAGATACCCCAGAACGTTGGACCATCTACCCCCACTGCCAGCGACGTTACGTTCGTACTGTCATTCTCTCTCCTCGCCCTTCCTCCTCTCCTTCCTCTACTCGTCCATCCCTGTAACTCTCACCGGTCGGTTCCGTTCTCGACCTCCATCCCCGGCAAGGGTTCGCGATGCCCATCCGCCCCCCTCGGCACCGGAATAACGACACACTCGTCCCACGTGCTTGTCCCTATATTAAACCGCCGGGACGGCCGAGAGATAATAAAGACATATAATAGAATCGAAATTGTTTCTCTATCTATCAATGCCATACGCCGTCTACGCGCGAGCCGCTCCGCGCCGCGTCCACTCGACAGATTCAATTTAGTTTCGGCCAGCCACGTTTAATTTGTGTCTTGATTCGTGGATTAATACGAGAGGCCGACCGCGTATCGGATCGGTCGGCGCGCGTGTGTGTGAACTGCTATACGTGCGATCGCACTGTTCGATTCATTTTTCCTCGTTCGTTTCGAAATTATCAAATTCGAGATACTGACGGAAATGGCATTCGTCGGATATTTTGCTCGAATATCGGAATCGCGACTGCCTCTGTCATTGAGAAGAAAATAGAAAAATAATTAAAATTAAAAAAGAGTGTAAATTGTTCTTCTAAAAACGCAATTCTTGGAATGATTACAGACGATAATCGCGACCTGAACGACCATACGGAGAACGACTTGAAGAGGCAAAGAAGCAACTACAATGGCGATCAACTGTATTCAAACGTGAGTAAAGCCGATACAATTTTTTTTAAGCAACGACACGCTTCAATAAGTAATTTCTTATTTCCAAATGCATTCGATCGCGCGCAGCAAACTACGTATACTACTTAATTACCTATACAGATAATTGGAATTAATCTCGGGCGTAGGTCCAACCCAAGTGTGTATAGTATACCTCGATTAAAACGCCCTAATCAATCAAAAGCTAGCGGAAGTTCCATAGAATCTCCGCATAACTCTCAACCGGTTGCGGTAATCGCGGGACCGAGTCAAGCTCGAATCGAGCTACAACATCCAAGTCAATCTTGGCGCTTGTTCTCGGATGTCCCTCCAACTCGCGAACTTCGACTTTAGGTTCCGCTGGTCTATGTTGCAGCTGTGGTCGAGTAAATGGAGCATCAAGGACGAGCACAAGCTCCTGAGCGAACTCGGCGGCAGTGGCGGCAGCGGGAACGGCGGTAATACAAACGGTAGTGGAAACGGCAACAGCGGAGGTGGTGGCGGAAACGGCGGCGGTGGAGGTGGCGGAGGTAACGGCGGTTACTACGAACACAGCGGATTCCCCGGGAACGCTATTGCCACCTCCGCCGAGCTGTACGACTCCCTGGGCACCATCAGCACGATGACGCAAGCGCAAACGCCCCATCTCTACACTCCGCCCATAGGGGGCACCATAGGTGAGCGTTCCCTCTCTTTTCACCCTCCGGCACTCTCCGACTACCCCCAACCCTGTCAGCGTGGCCTCTTTCTCTCTTTCTATCTATCTGTCTGTCTATCTCTCTTTCTTTACCGTTCCTCCCCTCGTACAGAAATCCTAGGCAGTGTGTGCGCCACAACCTCTTGTACGTAATGTCATATACCGAGTCCACCACTTTCCTTCGTTCCTTTCCCCTCCTCTTCATTTCCAAAGACTCATCTCTCTTTCTTTTTCTTTCTTCCCCTTCCTCATCTCGTCTCCTCCCTGTATGCTTATTATTGCGGCTTACGTCTTGCTTTGCATACCCATATCGGCTAAATACATGGCTTTAATAATGCATGAGCTGTGCCAAGCAGCGGCAGAAGAGGTGGCGGGAGGCCCCACACGGTGGTTCGGTGTTTTCAGCTTTAGGGAATAGCGCTCTTACTTCTCTCACCAGACGTCTCTTTCTCTATCTCTCTCTCCCTCTTTCTCTTTTTATTTTACGCTTATATTTCTCTTCTTATCAAAATAATATCGCCGGGGTTTCATCTTGGTGGATCTTTCTTTCACCTTTCTCGCCTATCCTCCTATCACATACATATATATTCACTCTTTCTATCTCTCTTTTCATTCTTCCACTCTTTATCTCGCTCTCTACTTCTCTTGCGCCGTTTAAAGGCGATCGATCAACGGCGGAACGTATACGGACGGTACGAGCTATTGAAAAGTAACCGGTACACAACACACACGAATGGAACTTTCTCCGATGGAGCACGTGTTGCGAGCAACTCGGTCACGCCGCGTCGCGTCGCGCCACGCCGCGAATTCTCCCGATCGTTGCCTTTCGGAATGGACGAAGCGAGGCGTGTAACGGCGGCTTCATCTCATGAAATTCAATCGAGGATCTTCGCCCCGGATCGAAAGATTTTTGAAGGATGACATAAACGGTCCAAGTCGCGATCGCGCAACTTGCTGCCCCGCCGTTAATATGTAGCAGTATCGCGGAGTAAAGTGATCCTACGCGAAAGTATTTTGACTCTTTTCGATACAGCATTGAACAGCATTTATATGCATGGATGTAAAGGGAAACAATTTGCGTTCTATAGATCTTTTCGTGTCATCTTTTATAATAATACTCGCAAGAAATCTCTGAGAAAACGTATGCGCGTTCTTCGCGACCGACCTTTTAACGTTCCGCCTTGATCGTCCGCCGACGATACGACAACCGCAATAACGGAAAAATGGGGATCCCTTAATAGCAGGTGGTACTTTGACGCCGCTCGCGCCACTGACGATGCAAGAACTAAAATTGAGCCAAACATTGGACGGGGCTAACATGTCTCCTTACCACACCACCGGTGAGTTCGCCACCTCTTTAGTTCTCTTACGGTCTCGCGCCGAGTTATGTATACCTGTTTCGCTGAGCATAAAATTTTTATTGAGCCTCTCTCGGATATGCGCGTATCCAACTAATATATGTCTCAAGTGTGTATTATCAACGTCGATTATTAACGGCGAGATTAAGCGCGGTATCTCCCGCCGTCTTCGTAAAGATCCTCCTATTATCCACTTGCGTATTTTATGTCCGACGAATCAAAAACACACATATGAGATTGCAGTCGTCTTACATCTCAAAGAGATAATAGCATTCGATTATATATTTTCTTAGCTTATTACATTTTATTTTTATATTTGAGCCGAATGAAAACAATGCATTCTTAATTCTTGCATACATAACGGAATTGCTATTTCTTCAAAAATAAAATTTATATTGATTCAAACGTCATATCTACGTTGATACTGTTAGAAAGAAGTAAAAGGAATTGAAAATAGATTTAAATACAGAAAACATTGATTGAAATATATAGTATTTGGAAGCAATCAAAATCCCAGATCCCAGACTCTTTTCCCGATCCTACCGAAACAATTTAATTAAGCTTTAGACGTAAGGCGCTGATCGTTAGCTAGTGCTTGACTCGAATGTCGTGTTGTGTTGTGCATGGCCATAGCAGAGAGCAGTACCGTCGCAGTATCGTATGTCGGGGTGGGGGCCGGTGGGGGCGAGCAAAGTCCCCCGATTTCGTTGCAGAACGAGACAAACGCCACCCCCGCGGCCCCCAACACCCCCGGAGGAGATCCCGGACTGACGGTCTTGCAGCCGCCAGTTTCTCAGCCCCAAGTAGCCTCTGCGATACCGCCGTACTCGACGATGCTTCCAAGTTTCGGACACTACGCCACCGGTGAGTACAATCAGACACAACCGCTTGCTTAACCGTCTGTCAAGGACAAGCGCGCTCGTATACCCGCCGGGGGTTGAACCGGGCTCGGCGGTACGTTCGGAGGGTAAGTCAGAGCTCTTTCTCAGAGGAGCGCTGATTTACCAGTTCGAGGCGGTGCAGCAATGGCAATTTTGCCCGGAAGGACGACGGATTCACTCCGTCAGAGAGACAATCGCGTACCAATGAAAGATACTATGACGACATACATTTATCATTAGTAGATGTGCATACATAATCGAAATAATATATTCTCCTCTTATTTTTCCACTATACTTCTTGCGGAATAAAATATAATTGGTTTTTTGATTTATCTTCAACATTTCTTTTCTCCAAAGAGAGTTGTTATTACTACGTTGTTTAATGCTAATTGTAGCAAGATCGATTATCTCGAGGAATAGTAATAAGCACTGCTACAAGTGCCGTGTGTTTTTTAATTACTCTATAAAGTCAAGTTGCGCAGCGCGAGAGTCTAAATTACATACTCCTTATTACTGGCGTACTTTCGCGCGCGAGCGTAACCGCGAGTTTCGAAATTTAATTGAGACATTAACATAATGCGTTTTTCGACACTGTCGAAAAACTGTTGGAAACATCTGTCAACGCTGTCTGTCAACTCGCGCTAATCAGCTTATCATCGACTTTTGTTCAGGTGGTGGCGATTACGCGTACAGCGCTGCGTATTCCCAGTACTCGAGTGCACCGTACAGCGGCTATGGTTATGGAGCAGCGACAAGCGGGTTGCTCAGTAAGTAAACAGTGAGTATTAGTACCGATTAGATTAGGGATGAATCGAATATACGAAAACACGGCGGCTGCAATTTCCTTTTCTTCCGAACCAGCACCGTCGATTATCGAGGAGAAGAAAATTCGCGCGGCCATTCGCGGAACCGGCAGTCCCGTTGTAAATGCGTGAAAATTGTATCTTTCGTAAAGTTCGTATCGCAGGAATTACGCACGCATTATTCGGAGATACATAAACTTTGCTGTCGACAAAAACTGTACTTGGCAGATCCGCGAAATGGACGTAATCCTGCGCAATCTAAGTAGGACTTTGTTCCTCATTAACACGCGAATTAATCAATTCGATTCAGATAACATCGAGCTACTTGGTTCATGCGTTCTAATAAGATTCTGATTCAATCCTTTGTAACACACGAGATTGCGCGATGCTACGCAAAGATCGCGATACCCTCTCCCTCCGCGAGCGTACATAGATGTATAGAGGAGAACGCGCGTGCAGAGAATAGAGAGAAGCGAATAGAATAATAAACCACTCTTTTCTCTCTCTTATATATATCGAACACGCGATACACAATTAATCCGCAACACGTAACGCAGATCCGTTCGCGATATCGCAGCGCTCTCGCTCCCCTTCCCCTGTCGGCGCGCACGCTCAACTTATTCCTCCTCCTCGTTCCCGATATTCCACGCGAGCGTTACGTGAGGTGCTATAATTAAACGCGAAAATTAGATAGGTGTGCACCGCGGAAAGCAATTTATTCCATTTTAATTCCGCGCGGGAAAACGTCGTTGCGAAGAAACCGCCTGAATATGCAACGCCGTAAATTAATTGGGCATGAGACGAGAGAAATTTAGATGCGCGCAACGTAAACAAGGGCAATGTTTCGAGTACGTTAATTGCAAATCCGTGGAATTAAAGGAAACGGCAAGGATTTTGTCGCGTTATCGCCGCGCAATACGTTGAGCAGGAATATAGACTGTTGACACAGACAGAGAGACCCGCAGATTCTAAACGCGACGAACGTGAAATCGCCCAATCTCGTTCCAGATTCCACGTACTACTACTGCAACGGAGACACGTCCACCCACACGTCGCAGCAGGGGGGTGGCAGCGGTTGCACCGGCGGTGGTCCGGAGAGCAGCGCCGACGTGGCCAGCCGTTCGCCCCTGGCGGCGACCAGAGCCAGCAGCGGAGCTAGCGCGGCCTCGCCGACCGGAAGCGCGTGCACCAAGCCGGACCACACCTCCGTCACACCGACGGACCTCTATCTCGCCTGATGGTCAAATCGCGCGAATACCGGGGGGAACGGCCTCTGGCCGTGTGTCATCCCGGCGATCGGTGGGGAGGCAGCGGGCACTGCGACAACGGGCGCCATATCACGAAGAGACACCACGTCGAAATTAAGCAATGATCTCTGATTTAACCGCATCGGGAAAACGCGCGGTGGAAGATTCGCATGTGGAATCTATTAACCGGTGGATCGACGGCGGCAGAGGAAGATCGAAGAACAAAAAAGCGCGATTTGAAGAGAAAGATTGGGACGTCGATGGAAATCTGGTAAAGTGACGTTTCCGGATTAAAGACGTTGAAGAGATTCTAGAATCTAGAAATTCTCTGAATCTCGTCGCGTTAAACGTGGATCGGAGGAAGAACTTGAGAATTCTGATTTGATTGATGAGCGCGCGATGTGATAGCAGGTAAAGCGAACTTGATGCAAGTGACGTCGATCATGTCGAAATTGGCATACAGAGTTCCCTCGCGTCGCCGCTGTTTCCCGCCGCTATAAATGTCAGTCACCGCGTTTTATTTATTTCCGTCGCGAGGAAACAAGCGTTGATCGATCGATTGAACGATCGATTCGTAAATTGCCGACAATTGGCGGCGACGCGAGTGGATCTCGAACACTCGAGAGCCGATCGCGTTGTAGACGACATCGCCGCGACTCTCTAGACAGAGCACGCGGCGATAGGTATAGTTTAATTTAATGATCCTCAGTTAGCGTAATTTTCGCGCGATGGTCCACGCGAGCGCGCGCTTGCGTCAGCAAACGTATAGTCGCCGACCATGTAAATATATATAAATTGAACATATATAAATAAGAATACAAAAAATATATATATATATGAGGCAGCGGGCACTGCGACAACGGGCGCCATATCACGAAGAGACACCACGTCGAAATTAAGCAATGATCTCTGATTTAACCGCATCGGGAAAACGCGCGGTGGAAGATTCGCATGTGGAATCTATTAACCGGTGGATCGACGGCGGCAGAGGAAGATCGAAGAACAAAAAAGCGCGATTTGAAGAGAAAGATTGGGACGTCGATGGAAATCTGGTAAAGTGACGTTTCCGGATTAAAGACGTTGAAGAGATTCTAGAATCTAGAAATTCTCTGAATCTCGTCGCGTTAAACGTGGATCGGAGGAAGAACTTGAGAATTCTGATTTGATTGATGAGCGCGCGATGTGATAGCAGGTAAAGCGAACTTGATGCAAGTGACGTCGATCATGTCGAAATTGGCATACAGAGTTCCCTCGCGTCGCCGCTGTTTCCCGCCGCTATAAATGTCAGTCACCGCGTTTTATTTATTTCCGTCGCGAGGAAACAAGCGTTGATCGATCGATTGAACGATCGATTCGTAAATTGCCGACAATTGGCGGCGACGCGAGTGGATCTCGAACACTCGAGAGCCGATCGCGTTGTAGACGACATCGCCGCGACTCTCTAGACAGAGCACGCGGCGATAGGTATAGTTTAATTTAATGATCCTCAGTTAGCGTAATTTTCGCGCGATGGTCCACGCGAGCGCGCGCTTGCGTCACTTGCGTCAGAGTCGCCGACCATGTAAATATATATAAATTGAACATATATAAATAAGAATACAAAAAATATATATATATATATATATATTATATATATATATATGATCTGTGTAAACAAAAAAGTCAAGCGCCCCGATGGCACCTTTATTCTCTCCCGTAGGCACGACAAACCCCTCCTCATCCCGTAAGAGTATCGTAGAATATAACTCGATAAGTTTGAGATTTTTAAATCAGGAGTCGACGTAACGATCACTACTGTTAAGGATATTATATATATTTTTTGTAGAAACCAAAGACCATACACACACATACACCCACACACATGCGCGAATAAACCCACAAACACATGCACGTACACATGTCACACGCGTACCACCCACGCACGCAGCACGCACAGGCATTGATACACGTAACGCGGATAGTCGAACGAACGAGCACGTCGCGCATCTGCGGCAAAAAGCGTGACGGTTCTGAGCGGCCTTTCCGCACGGATTTATCACGCGTAATCGCGAGCGGCGTGTATAGGATCGACGTAAGGTCTAATTAAAAAAAAAACAACGGAGATAACAATTGAAATAAAAGAAATAGTTTAAACAATTTTAAAATTGGAAGGTAACATTTTTTTTCACCCATTATCGATACAAATTCTCGATTAAAAAAAATTTTTTTTTTTTTGTCAAAGTAAGTACGCGAATCACAGCAGGATATCGAGGGCTATTGTATGGAGAGCATTCGTATTCGTGATAATTAGCGCAAGTCGGCGCATGGACATTTCCTCGACGGCCCGGCGATCACGCTCGTTTCCCCGTTCCGTTCGACGCGCTTCCGCTTTGCGGCGGAAGTCGTACTGCTTCCCGCTCGCCGTCGGGCGGAACGCGCCTAGAGAAGATTATCACGAAGGCGCAATTAGTGGCCGGGCGTCGGTGATTTTTAATGAGAAATTACACTCGCGCGAGAGAGCAGTTCCCCGATTTAATAATCGCGCTAAATCATTGACGCCTCGGCAGCGGCACGCGCTACCAATTTCATGCGTCTCGAATTAATTCAATCAGTACGCCGTATAATGTTGTAGATCAGAAATTGCTTGGCGATACTTAATCCGACAATTTCTAGTCACACACGCGCGCACACACATACATATACACACGTACACAAATATACTCGAAAAAAGGTGCGCTAGTGAACAAAATATTGCAATATGTTTGAAGTAAATTCAAAGGCGAGTATCGTCTTACAATGTTAATCATGTCGATGTAAAAAACATTATTTCAACTCGTTAGCGTCGATCCAAAACGCGCTCGCGAAATTGAAATTATCAACCCCAATCAATTGGCCAAATGTATCCCGAATCTCTCGCCCAATGTTCCGTCCGTATCGATCGCCTTTCGTCCGATAATTAGACCGTACTCGCAAGGATCAAACGTTTCGTCTCCACATTGTTTTTTGCGTTACGCTCTTTAGCAACTTATATTTTGATAAAGGTAATTAGCGATTGTAATTAACGATTACAAATGAAATCATTAAATTGCTAACCGAACGGCAAAGTGCGATATTGCTTACACTTACAATAGCATGATATGAAGCCGTGCGGGAAGGTAGAAAGGCAAAAAAAAATGCGAGGGAGCGCTACAATTTCCTTCTTTTGCGCTCTCTGTAAATCCCGATGACAATTTGCCCAGCTCGGTATCGTCGAGTGGAAGGCACAAATTTTTAAAAAAGTGCAAGAAGCGATATTCAACGCGTGAGTACACGAGATGTACGTTTGCATCTTGAGTGGTCAAACATCGGCTGAGTTATTGCGTCCGATGCTCGGTACGATTATTCCGCGATCGATTATTGCGTACTTATACATTGTTATTTTATTGCTATTATTGTAATGACACTGATTATATATATATTAATTCTTATTCTATTTGCTATTTTCACTATTTTCATTATTTTATCACGATTATTATTCTTATTATTATATTATATTATTATATTATTATTATATCATCATCACATACATCTTTATTATATTATTATTTAATGCCTTTATTATTTATTAATTGTAATGATGACCTATGTGTAATAAGTTTTGCCAAAGAACCTTTCGAGAGAGCAATATTGCAGTAAACGTTTTCTAGCCTCCATAGGAGAAAAAGCAGTCGATGCACGATTATCATATTGAAAAATTGAGTGTGAAAAACGCAGAGATAAATGACTGTGCCGCGGCATTCGAGCGATAGGCGAAATACGTGAATTTGTCCGCGCGAATTGTAGATTCGCGAATCTCTGTGAGATCTCGACTCGAAGATGCCGCGACCGCGCATTTCTAAACGAACACACAATTGTCTCATTTTATTTTATCGTTTTGTCTCCCGTGTGATATTCTTGTTCCGTGCGCCGCTCTTGCCGAGTCTCGCTGTTGATACTTGCAAACAAAACTCTGTACATCCTTTTTAAATAAATATGAGGTTTATATGAATGTGGTCTGTACGTTTTAACTCTCTATAACTTTATCTTCCCTCTTCATCATATATTATGTATCTTAAATAAATATAACGTTTATATGAACTTTATTTATATGTTTAATTACCTATAAATCATCTTTTTTCCATCATACATTGTAAAAGATATGTAGTTCAAGATTAAACCAATTTTATATATATAATGACTTGATTAAATGACTAATGATTGTGCAAAAATCAAAAGTATCTGCAAAAACATTTTTAAAAATAATTATGGTTGGCTCCTTTTCTAAAGCGATATCTTCAATTCATAAGCTGTCTAGATATTAAAGAGAATTTAAGAACAATTATTTAAAAATTACTTTTTATCCTTCACTGTAATATTGTAAAAGAGATAAACATTAGATATAAAGTTAAATTATCAGTCCTCATCTTGTCATAAAATTGTATTAGATATAATAAAGTTACAATAGCTACGATAGATATAATAAAATATAAATGCATACTTTTATACACTCTCTAATTATTTATAACGTGTATAAAGACACCGTTTTTATTCACATACATATTGAGTTCGATATTTATATCTCTAAAACTATAATGTAAAAGCTAATTAAATATTTGAAGAGATGAGAAAAGATACATTTAGCGACATCTGTTTACAGTCACGTAAATACCTGTGCAGAGAATATCAATAATAGCAAGAAATAAAATTAGAAAAAAATATTTTCATAGTTTATAAGAAACAGTAAAATTTTGTATTATAAATGCATATCTATTTTTATATGAAAATTCTCTATTTTCAACTTTTTTCCTTTCTAATGATATCGTATCTTTAGTTGTAAACGAATATCTCTCCTTTATCGACGTTATGCAGCCTGGTAAATCGCAAAGCATGCAGCCTTCTGTCTGTATTATCGCTATAGGGTACTTTAATCAATTAAGAATGTGTAGATATGAATTTATACATAAATACAAAATAAATTTTGTTTTCTTATATATAGTATTATATATATTTAATAGTTCACATACGTTGAATATATCTTATAAAGTATATTCAATAGCACATACAAATTCTCGAAACATATCTTGTAGAAATTAGATATTTACGTATATATAAATAACCGGAATAGTCACATCATATTTATATTTAACCGCACATTCGCTCCTTGCGTTCAAAATTGTACAATATTATGTATTTTAACTTAAACAAATATTGTTGCCTTTATATTTATATATTATTTATTGTAAACGTAACTTTCAGCACCGCCACGTCCGAAACCTGTAATCATAGTGATCGCTTCATTAGACAAAGCTCCTTGATATCGCAAGCCGTGAAAGAATTTAATTAGAAAACAGTATAAAGTGCGACGAAATGTGCATATAAACGAATGGAATAAAGATGAGAGAGATACATATAAATTTAATATATCAAGTGCAGAGGACACGACATTCTGCGAAGGGTTTTGAATATGAAGCAGTTTTAGGGGAAACGAAGCGCAACGCGCTCAAGCCGAGACGAAGCTTTCCATTTACCTCCTGGACCGAACAGGGCTGCATAGCAAGGGTGATTGCAGTAGGGTTTCCCTTCGTGCTCGGCATGACCCCCGGGTGTTAGGGTCTTATTGCATTTCTCGCAGCGTAAACACGAACCGTGCCAATCTTTGCCTAAGGATGTCTTCCTCTCGGCTGCAACACAAGATGAATGTTAACGCGCGTTTCGGTGTAACGTAAAAGGCGGTTCACCGCGGTGGAACTGGCCGCGCTTTCCATATTAAATTTTATCTTCCTACACTAATGCGAAAACCGCATTAGCGTATCACTTCTCAAGCGCGTTTGCCAACGCGAGAGTAATCACTGTGAAGGGAACAGAAATTAGTGGGCACACGTTAATGACAAAGAATGATGGAATATTGGGCGGTAATATTGCTTGATTGATATATTTGCGATATCAGGAATAAAATAAGTGAGATCTTAAAGAAAAGAATATTAATATTTAATAAAAAAATGATTTAACAGTATTATATCGTTTATTTCCAGCGAAATCTGAAGCCCCAAATGAATTGAATACATCGTCTGAATCGTGGATGGTGAGAATGAGAAATAGGTGGTGTGAACCTTTCCATTAGCAATTTCGTAATTAGAAAATCCAATGCCAAAGTCTCGAGGGAATCAATCGGTGTGTGTTATTTATTAAAGGCGCAAACGCAAAACATTCTGCAAGTGTATTTCACAAAGGATTTCGCGTCGTCGGTAGATTCCAAAAAAATCCCTAAACCTCCCTCGTATGCGAGTCACATTATACGCATACCTCAGTTCAGTTAACTCCCAGATGCATCTACGGAAATTTGCATCGGGATGTGCATACAAAAGGTTCATCCTCGTTACCATAGGATTGTCGGAAAGAAAAATGAAGTGATACAAGAAAAAAAATACAAGAATCATTCAGATTACATTCCTTGAAACATTGAAACTTTTATATGGTGTAGTTTTGAGATATTAAAACATCTTTTATTATTTACGTTGTATGTTTTATATATTTTTAATCCTGAATTTGTTCTGAATTATCAATTTTAAATATTTATATAAAGATAATAATTCATCACGTGCATTCTCTTTAAATGAGACAAATATATCGCTATTCAGTAGTTCTCCATAGTTATCTAGATAATATTAAATATATTAATATCATATATTAAATACATTATTACAGATAAGTCTCCGCTTATAATATGATTTGTCGCGGAACAATTTTCGCGATTTTCCGTTTTAGTTTACGAATTCCGTTTTAGCTTACGAGTTGACATTTCATTGACTTCTAATAAAAATCCTTATTCATAAATATGCTCGTACGTATCCGGCGACTCGACAAAAGATTCGACGAAAGCCGAAGACCGATTTTTCTTTCCTCCACGGCGACGTATCGCGCCATTAGGGCGTATCAAACCTCGCGGGGAGACAAAAAAAGAAAAAGAAAAAAAAGAGGCAAGAGAAAACCGCAGCGGGCTGGTGGTTGCATTCAAACGCTCCACCGTGTCTAAGAAGGAGCACAAAGGGCGGTGGCGCCAGCGAGGGAAATTGGAAAATGACGAGACGAGAGCGCAATATGAGTGCGCATCGGGGAGGAGGAAAGGATGCATCGGTAAAAGCGCGAGATGCAGTGGAGAATGAGGAATATGGCGAACGTACGGCTGGAGGAGAGAAACGTGGGGAATCAAAAGACAGAGAGAGAGAGAGAGAGAGAACACGCGTGATGTGTATCGCGGGAAGAAGGGTGCGCGCATAAAGGGCCATTAGTTAATTAACTCCTAATTATCTGGCGACGGAGAAACGGGTGCATAATCGTCAGCGGCATATTCGCCGCGCGCGAAAAGGCAGAGACAGTGCCGTGAGCGCGGATCGTTGCGCCCAGGGAAATAAACAATCGACCGCCGCTACGCTGATTGCATAGGTTCCCTCGGAACGTCCTTCTCCCTTCAACCTTCAACCACGGCCCTTACGTCGCGTCGTTTCTTTCTCTCCCTTCCGATCTCGTCGACTGAGACCAGACCGTCTCCTGCCTTCACCGCGATCCTCGCCCACGCTCGCTTCTTTTCAAACCGCCGTCCGCAACCATCGTACCTCCCCCCTTCCTCCGCGTGGTGCCTCTTCCCTTCGGGGTACGCCAGAAAACCCCTCGGAGATCTCGCATCACGCCGGTCCCTTCTCCTTCCCAACGGCAGCGGGGGTTGCGGCGGGAAATCCCGGCCGAGTACTCCTCTCTTCACGGGTTCTCTTTTTCTACCTTTTCGTATCACGAGACCTAGCTATTCTTCTGCAAACCTGTTTCATGCTGCGTCTGTGTTGTTCTTATTAGTACCTGCGCCCGCGCGCGCGCGCGATATACCGACCGCGTCTCCTTTGTGTTGTCCTCACGGCTGGACAGTTTATCGTTGTGTGTTGCACTTTGCCCGATGCAGTTTCCTTGCTCTTATCCTACCGTCGCATTTCGCGTCACGATTTCTCCTTTTTTCCAGTTTCTCTTTTTGAATTAGCGTACATTGTATGTATATATA